TGTAGTATCTATGAACTGTTTCAAGAAGTTGAGCACCATGGCCTTGACCTTGAAATGGAGTCAATATCAGCATCTGGCTACAGTAAAGAAATTATTTTAAAATTAAAATATCACAACATGGCCAGTTTAAAAATTGAAATTGCTATAGTATTCCAAACATTTTAAAAATTTATGTGGTTTTTTTTCAATCAACCTTCAAAAAATTCAAAAATTACTGAGATACTCAAAATTATTTTAATCTTTCACACTGTTTCAAAGGGAACAATGAAATAAATCAGTACATAGCCAAGGAATAATGGTGATATTTTTTAAACAAATCAACACTATTATAACAAGTATTGGAAACTTCAGCAGTTCCTTCTTCTGAAATAAAAGACAAGGCACGTGTTATGCTGCCAATTACCTTACACGTGGCCGGGTTTTGTCTGGGTACACATAGTAATTATAGACTGTCATGTAGCCTACGGTCGCAAAGAGCGTAGCTCCATCCTTATTATACTTCTCAAATCTGCAGATAAAACAGAAAGCCAAGCAGGTCAATTACAGTCGCGCTCCCATGCAGTGTCCATTTTCTTTTCCATTCTCTGACTGAATTTTCAGTGTCAGCAAGCTACTCTGTGAGGGCCCAATGGGTACACCTGCTATGTTCTGAATGTACAATTCACTTAATTGGTGTGCAGCAACTTGGATAAATCAGACCTCTTTACATCACTTCAGTGCACTTGCCTATTATAAAGATGAATAGGTGGCAAGTAAAAGAAAACACAGGCAAAGCTCATTTTACTGTTTAAGCCTACATTCAGGGCCCTAACGGACAACAGCATTTAATTCAGCTCTATTCTCAAGGTCTCCCAAAGCATAATGAAGGAAAACTCAAGCCTCATAAACAATGGTTTTTCTTTCCTGGGAAAAATATCATTATACTGTCCCAATAATTGGGCTGCCACAATTAAAATGCTGGCTTTGTGGAGGTAATAAGGTCTACTGTTGCTTTAGAACTGTACTTACACTAGAAAGTAGTGCCATCTTTCATCATCCACGTCAATAAAGCTAGCAGTTTCAATAAACCACATCAAAAAGGTCTGAAGCCTTTCATGATATTCTCGAAAGCCTCTACATGTCATGTCAGCCTAGGGAAAAAGCCAGGAAAAGTCAGGTGAAACTCATCACAGAGGTAAGCGAAAGTCTGCAGAACACAAAACTGTCCTGTGGGAAAATGTTTAAAAGTCTCAGATTAAGATGTATACACAGACACACACATACAAAATAGATCTTTGTCTTTAATGCAGATAAAAGCTTCTTTTCTAAAGTTAGAATAAATCACTGAAAATAACAACAAAATTGCATACAAGTTTCAGGCAAATAGAGTAAGTTTACTCAAGAAATATTTAGATTATCTTTACCTTATATATCTGAAAGGTAAAGTTTTCTCCTCCTGTTGGACTGAGAACTGAGTATGTATGAAGCAAGGTTCCAAATGGCTTGAAATCAACTTCCTTTTCCAGCAAAGAAAGAAAATCATTCGTGTTTGTGCAAAATCCAGGTGGAATGATTTGTCTAATTTTGCCTTCAACATCATCTGCCTAAGGAATGGACAGTAAGGACATAAAAATTTAATATCAAATTTGACTTTTAGTTGAATATACTAAATTTCTTTGAAATGGACAAAACCAACAAAAATATCAAAACTTCAGTTCAAAATTAAACTAAAGAAGTAAACACACAGTGAACTGGAAAAGATGAGTTTCATGTGCACAAACTAGTGTCACACAAAATTGAGATGAGCTTAAGTATAACATAAAAATAAATAAGAGGAGGCAGGCAGACTGATATCAAGTGTAAGAATTAGGGCAATGCTTTGAAATTTCTAACATCATGTAGAAAATGCTAACTATATCCCTTCATGACAATCTGAACCGGCCAAAACAAAAGGCTGCTTATTATTAATATTTTATTAATATATATGTCAAAAAGATATTCTCCAAGACATGAAGAGATCACTAGATGAGGTGAGGTGAGGCTAGAGTCTGACCAAATGAATAGCAATCTCACAATGAACAAATAGACAGGTTATAACTCCCTCATATAACAAATTCAAAACTAAGATGATAATTTAAAAATGTACTCACTTAGGAAATACATAAATTATATGAATGGATATATTATCCACTCATCCTTATATTGTGACACAATTTTTACAGACCTGAATTTGTGATAGTAAAAAAGAGACAAGCCTGGACAACAAAATTAAACTCAGAGATTAAAATTACCCTTGTTAAACAACTTCGATGAATGTTAAAACTATCAGCTGAGCAGACTTCATAATCCTTTTCAAAACCCCAAAAGACCACTTGATTGAATACATTTACTACTTCTCTTTAACCATGAATATTTGATGAAGTCTTACAATAAAGTATTACTGCTTCTCACCAGGCAATAAAACTTAATGAATTGGTCTCAACTTAACAAAACCTTATCCCTCAATACAGTCCCTAAAAGCCTGACATTACATTCAACAAAATGAGCTTGCATTCTATTCAAACTTTTTCCTGAACAATGAGGCCAGGTTTTTACTTAATGGAGTTTGCCGTGAGTTCAGCTGTAATGTTTGTATTGTATCTATTTCCACAAGGACTGACACAAGAACACTTTGTGTTAACTTACTAAGCAGCTCTTTCATACCGTTTACATGCATGATGGGTATTAGTTCTAAACCAAGACCCTTGCTACTTAGCATTCAAAACAGGGAAATTAAGATGCTTAGGACAAAATACACTACAAAAGGCTAATACAACATGCTACTAATTCCTGTCCTTTCAACCATCTTTTAACTAAGTAGAAGCAATGCACCTGCAGATGAATAGCACTTTATTATCATTCAGTTACATTTTAGGATAGAGAACCAAGCATGGAGTTTATCGCAAACAAGTTTTATTTTCAATGCTCTGGAACCACCAACATTTAAATATAATTTGTTTACAGCTATTTTAAAAAGAGCTATTATTTAAAATATAGCTCTTTAGCATTTTGCCCAACAGTTTATTTCTAATATGTACATCAGTCCTTGCAACTCATTCACCCTAGAGATCCAACAAACCGCATTTGATAGACCTATTTTTGCTTATTTCTAAAGTACTATTTGATAAACATTTTTCCTTGAAACTGCTATCTAATGTGAAGAAGCCATCCTAAGTATATTTTATAGAATCAGTACAATTTCAGTAACTACATGAGGAAATTGTTATAATGAGGGATTGTTGTAATGGGTCTGTTGTGTAGCAATTAAAATCCAAAGTAGTGATGTGTAAAGGTAGTATACTGTAATTTCAGTTCAGATTTTAAAACTTAGGAAAAACTACTTTATTAAATAAA